AATAACGAGTCTTAGCTTCTTGAACATTAGCCTAATCTTGAGTGTTAAGTAAACAATTTGTGCCTTTGAGATTAAAAAGTTGCAGCTATAAACAAATATTACTATGGATAATGTCATTAGCTGAAATGTGCATAAAACTTAAATTTACAGTTATTAGCGAGGCTTGATCTTGTTTTATTGGACTCCAATTTAAGACTAAACTTGTGAATCAAAGCAAGCACAACTTAAAACATTTTGTGTTTTTTCTAGAGCTACGCAAGTTTAAGTTATAATAAAACAAAAAATATAAAGTTCTAATATCAACAAAACGAGCTTTATTAGTTAGAAAATTATATGACATTAATGTTTAAATATGATTTTGAACATGTGGCTACAGCTGCCATCAAATCGATAAACAAAATAACAACAATTTGCTAGCGTTGCTCTAGTGCTTACAGATTATAATATAATGCTTACTTAAATTCAACAAAAAGAAACTAACTATTAAATCAGTTGCCAAATTAAACAGTGTTGCTAACTCGAAGCTCTAAAAAAAGCTATCTTTAGCTGGCGTCAAAGACAAAGCTTCAGAAGCTGCTGCTTTTGACGTTAGCTGCACAGTGAAGTGGCTTGATCTGACTCTTGACTATGCTCACAAAAGGGAAAGCAATGGAAAAGGTCACTTGATCAGAATTCTCTCTTTATTTATTACAATGCTCAGCCTACTGTGTCCCTAGTGAACAAGTAGGTTGGAGACACACAGCGCAAGCTGTAAGTCAAGCTGCATATCTTAGTCTAACCTGTAGTAAAATGAAGTAACTACGCTGATGCCATAGACTCGACACTGACAAATTAAATATTGTTAACGACTCGGAGTACTCCACTGTAAATAGAGTCACATTTCGGCAATGTGTAACCACATGCTGCGCTGCCAATGTAAATTGGCTAGTAAGCTGAGATGTTGGCACAAGAATGTTTGTTGTTTGCCCAAAGTGAATAAAGATGCGGCAACTGGAGCAGGATTAGGAGCAAGTGCGGCAGCACAGACTGCAGCATGCGCTGCAGTAGACGTCTAGGCAGTTGGCTACGGCTCCATTTGCATTACTTGCAACAATAAGTAGGTAACTAAGTAAGTTGCTTCATTAAAACAAACTTTAATTGGCAAAATTTCCACCTGCCTGCCGTGAACAAGAGTCTCTATGCCCCGCCTCTCGCTCTCTCTCTCTCTCTCTCTCTCTCTCTCTGTCTGTCTGTCTGTGTGCGCATATTCGGAGGAGTAAAAAAAAAAATACATGACAATATCGACAGCCCGACCATTTACCGCTCCACCAACTAGGAAAACACTTTGCTGGGCTTTAGGCAAACAGCAATTGCAAATGCAACTTCGACTGCGCCTGTGAATGGAGTTGGAACTGAGACTGAGACTGGAACGGGGACTGGCAGTAACCACAACTCAAGTCAAGTTACGTCAAGTCAAGTCAAGTCAAGTCGTCATCGTCATCTTCATCATCATCTCAACGACATGGATGTCAGCTGGCTGCCTTGGCTGTCGCTGTGGGTTCGACTTAATTGCATGACAAGGACAAGCACATGGCTGGCTAACTGAAAAAGTAAGCGAGGCACAGATACCCTCTATATAGAAGCTGAGTATTTTGACAAGCAGTCAAATGACAGTACAGGGTATCTGCCAGCTGGCTTGCTAGCCAGCTTTTGTCTAATGTTTGCAACGAGACATGTTGCTAAAACTGAAAGGCATGGCTAGCCAAGCGACAACCTCGAGTCCTGCAGACAGGACACTCAATCACCAAGCAGCCAATAGTCAATTAAGTTAGCAACAAAAAGGCAAACGCCAGAGGCTTTTGAATTGTTAACGCAGAATGCCTCAGATCGACTTTAATCTGTATGTGTCACATAACTTGGCCAATAACTAAAGTCATACGTTGCGAAAATAACAGACGAGGCGAGCCAAAACAAAACAAAGCAGAAGCGCAGAGCCAGCTCTATATATATATATATATATATGTATATATATAAAGGGGAAAACAAGCGGAACATATTTCTCACATGAACACCGCAAAACTATTGAAAATTACTATAAACAGCTTCAGCAAACGTATGCCAGGGACTTGGCTGGCCATCAACAACAACAAACAACAGCAACAGCAATAACAAAGATATTTGAAACCGAAACTGACCGCCAGCCAGTCGATTTATGAGCGTCGATTTGTGCAAAAAATCAACGAAAAAAGAGATATATATATATATATAAAACATATATATATTAGACAAACAAACTGTGAACCGAAAAGTTTTTCCATTAAATCAATGAAGCGCACAAAATATTCGCGCCAACGATAATATCGAGTCAAGGGAACTGCGAACAGCTCTGTAAGTCATGGGAGCTGAAGCACGCCTAATCCGAAAAATAGTCACAACTTTTGATTTGTTATGCATTGCTATATGGCATGCATATAGAATGTATGTGATTAATTGATGGCGATCTTATGTGCCAAGTGCTAAGGGATATGCAATGACTCCACATGTGACCGACTGCATATATAGCTGCAGGCAGTCAGCCGATTTAGTTAGGTAGTTATAAGCACTGCCTGGGGAATGCTGTAGCCGTTCGTGTGTGTGTGTGTGCGTGTTTGTGTTATGTATGATGACAGCTCCATTTTTTCTAGTTTTTGCACATTTCACTAATAAAAATAAAAAATAAAAATGCACCAAAAGTTGCGGAAAACATTTGCGCACAAAAAAAAAGGAAGAGAAGCGAAGTGAACAAAAAGCCAATTGGCCGCTGCAGCAGTCACAGGGTGTGAAAGGGATGTGGGCTGAGATGTGTGTGTGTGTGTTTGAGTCGTGTACAAAGACAGACGCTGCAGACGGACATATGGACAGTTGGGCTGCTGTTGGACTGTTGGCTAGTTGGACGAACTGTGTGACAGTGGCGACGCAAGGGCAATGAATGGCCACATGACAAAACATACGCTTCGTGTAAAATTTTTTGTCATAAATTTCGTTTGGCGGCCCCTTGGCAACTTTCTGTGTGTGTGTGCGTGATATTTTTATTTCATTTAATTTTTTTTGTCAAGGCATTATACACACAGGTATTTTTAAAGCGAAAGCGTAGCCAAACAACGGAATTATTAATTGAAATTCGCATAAACAAATTGCGCAATTTGCTCAAATCAAACAAAGTGTTTTCCATGCAAATATTGAAGAAAGCAATGCTAAAAAAAAACAAATGCAACTGAAACGCGACAATTTGCACAGCAGCTGGGGGCTACCTAAATGAGTTGCTATATATTGATAATAAAGAAATCTGATCCAAGTGCCTTTGAGATCGCGCAGACCAAGGCAACTGCCTTGAGCACATGTTGCCCAACATTGTTGGCAACAATGTTGCGCGCCTTGCTTGAGCGGCCAGTTAGACAGAGCTATAGCTGACGTTCTTTTTAGAATTGTACAACTTTGGCTTGGGAACACTGCTTTATTTGCCAGGCCATTTAACAGCCGATAGTTGCTTTTTATTCAGTTTGGCTTGACATTTTATTGCAAACCTACAGCAGACTTACAGCAGAGCAAGACTTGCATATTGTTAGCATTTCGTTAGAGGACACAATGATGAAGCCCGTTGTGGGTTGAGTGGGAATGTAAATAAGCAGAAATGTCGCATTTGGAGTGAACACGAATAAATCCACAGAATATTGCTGAATATTGAAATTTTATGCATATATAACTGGCAGAAGACGTGGCAGAACCCAAAGCCATATATTCTTTATCAGGACGACAAGCCGAGTTGACTGAGCTCTCTCCGTCTGTCTGTCTGTTAGACCTGTCCGTCTGTCTCTCAGTCCATCTGTCCCTCATGAGCATGATCAGTAGCTGTCTATATAGTTGCATATAATTGTCCATCTTTTATATCATGTGAAATGAATAAAAACTAATAAATGTGCTCAAGAGCAGTAAGCAAATACACATTTGATTCACATATAGATGAAGTATATATGTACAGCATACATATTCTCGATCAGAATGACCATGTGTGTGTATATGGTTAGCTCTGTCTGTGCGCCTTTCCTTAAGTCAAAATGAGTGTAAATTCTCACTCAAAAAGTGCTCATGAGCTCTGCCGGCGTTGCCTTTTGAGTGACTTTTGGGTATAAAAGGGCGCAGCAGCGGCTGTGGAAGATCAGTCAAGTTCGTGACCTGGACTAGGTCAGTCGCAGTGCAGTTCAGTGAAAATTGTGAATAAATTTAAGTTTTTTTTGTTTAAATAATTTGTATATCTTTAAGAAATATTGTATTTGTTTATAAATATTTATATATATATTTAAGTTGTTCTTGTCCATTTGTTTTATATATATTTAATATTTTATTGTTTAAATATTAAAAATATATAATTTGTAGCATTTAAGTTACTTTTTAACTATTATTAACAAACACGAATTGTTATTATAATAATGAAGTTTGTCATGTTCATAAGCGATAATGATGTTAATTACCAAACTTACTAAGAGTAAGATAAGAGATATATTTAATTAAAATAAATATTTATATATAACTTCTCTTTATAACATCTCTTTATAAAATCTCTGTATAGAATTTCTGTATATTATATTTTGTGATATAGTTAAGTTATTTACGAAGTGTGTTTAGAGTTTGAAGAGCAGATAATCTCTTCTCTTATAAATATATTTTTTATTTAAATATTTTTATATTTAAGTTAAAAAAAAACAAGAGTATAAAAATATAAATATATTAAATTAAATAACAATACCATAGCAAAATGTTAGCTAAATAATATATTTACACATATGTATTACAAAATGATCTCTTAGTCGGGCACCCCGACTAGAGCTTTCTTGTTTTTGTTTTTGATTTAAACTAGTGTAACTAAAAAAAACTCACTTGATGCAAGCAAATTTGTAATCAGTTGGAATGATCCAATACCCTGTAAAAACTGCCTAAAAGAAAACAGGGCGCCACACATTTTTAATATTTATTTGTACGTTTTGCAAGTAACCGATTAAATTATTTTAAATAAGGTATATTTACAGTTTGCTTATGATCGTAGCGTTATCCATTTCGTGACTTTCGCAGTTCGTCGATTGTTTGCTTGTGATCGAAGCATCATAAATTTTGTGACTTTCTAAGTTTTCTTCTGCCTGGCCTGGTGCAAAGTTAGAGAGTTGCAGTGAAAATATGTCTTAGGTAAATTGCAGCAACTCACCTGTGCACGATATTTTCGCTTCATCTTCTCGGACATGAGGCACCAGGCGAGCGCGGCCCTCTTTACGAGCTCCTGCTCAGGAATCATTCCATTTCGCGTTTTATACTCTCGCAAGAATTTGATATAAGAGTTGGGTGCTTGCTGTCTATGTTTTGAGAGTTTTTGTTTTCTAACCTTGCGTTTACGACTTACGCCGTTGGTCATTCCTTTAGCGCAGGGTTTTGCTTTGAAAGATATGGATTTTGGCTTTGTCGTTGGATTCGCTACAGGTCTAAGCTTTCGACCACACATTTGCGCCAACTTATGCAAATTATACTTGGTGTTGCCTCTGGCATTACCATCCACCATTATCCCAATGCATTTGCCCTTTATACCAGCAATGTATTTTTTCTGTAAAACGAGCCATCGAAGTTCCAGCACAGCAAAGCGAATCGAAACACTTACCGCAGTATCCGACATCCCTGTCTTGCGCCTAAGCCCTTTGCAAGGACCAGCCTTTTTGTGCATTGTCATCATGAAATACAAAATTCAAACGTATGCTTAAAATTTACAACTTGATCGTACCAAGAATGTTATTTGACTTAAATATTAAAAATTATGTTTTATGAATGACTAAAAAATTTGGGAACTGAACTCCTTTGTCACATTTGAGAGGAAGCTGCAATTATTTGACAGACCGGCCTGAGGCAACTAAGATCCACTTTTTGGACTCGGAATTTTGGACACGAATTTTGAATAGGCTGCGACTTGGCTGAGCGCGTGTAGGCAGATACTGATCTGCCACAGTCTCAAAAACGTTCAGCCTTTGCAGGAGGCTGTCACTTGGCTTCCTGTTAATTACATGACCCAAGTCTTAAATTATATACATTTAACTATTTGAACTATAAGTTTCAGCCTTAAACATTTCGATTTGACTCCCGCTGCTGAGCTAGCTGAATGCCTACAGGTGCTCGATCAACCATCGCCGTCTGCAGCTGACGCAGCCATGGCCAAATAGTTGCATATATGTTCAAATGTAAATAAAATGAATGAAAAAAAAACATTGGTGGATTATCAGAGAACATGCAGTGTTGATGCCCCATCGAGGGAATCGCCACTGTGTCTTTGACAAGGAAATTCCATTAAAAATGAAAGTTTTAAATTTCAAAAAGCAGCAGCAGCAGTGGCAGCAATGGCAGCTAGTTGTAGCAGCGGCAGCGGCAGTAAATCAACAACAACTGCAAAATAAACCACAACCAAGCAGCTAAAGACAACAGCAACAAATGAGCAACAATAGCAACAATAGCAACAAGAACAACAAAGCAACAAACAAAAAATAATATAGCAACAGCGTGCCAGTTATTGTTATTGTTAGTGCTTGTGCTGGTGGGATTGCTGTTTGTTGTTGTTTTACTTGCTGCTGTAGCTGCTGTTTTTATAGCTGCTTACAGTTAAAACGGCCAGCAGACTTACAGCACAGATAGCAAAGTTGGTAGCTCGGGCACGGGCAGCGTGCAAAACACAAACAGAAGCTGCCCGTCTTGTGATAAATGACCACTCCATAAATTTTTATTTCTACTCAACTCAATCTCAAGCTCAATCTTTTGCTGCTGTTGCTGCTGTTGCCGCTGCAGGTGCTGCTCCTGGTCAGTTTTATGGGCACTGCTGTTGCCGCGAAAGGCACTCTCCTTTTGGGCCATGATTGCGCACACAGAGATCCGCAGAGCAAAAGTCCGCCTTAAGCTCCAGCAAAATTGTTTGTCTGCCATTCTGATGGGCAGTCAGCATCCACTGGGATTTCCATTCAGCACGAGCTGCTGGCAACGCATGCAAATTGATTGCACTGCCAGGTGAGCGAGAGGCTGACAGTGACAATGATGAGCATCAGTAGCTGGACACTGTCGTCGCCTCGCATAGATAAGCAGGCGCTACAAATAAATTAAAGCATTGTCAGCACAGCCAGCAAAATTATCATCGACGTGCGCATTATCATTTAGCCCCAATCACAATAGCTGGGCTTCTCTATGTCAGTCAGCGAGCTCCTCGCCAGCTGTTCACTTGGCCAGCCAACAATTTTCATTTGCTATTATCTGTATGGCCAGAGCATTAATTAGTTTCTGCAATCTGAGCTGAGTTAATTTCCTTAAAGAACCTATATATAGCCAGAAATAACCGAGCCGCCTGCCTACTCCCATTGGATCTCTCTGTCAACTGGAGCAGCTGAAAACTAAGACGATTATATTTTCTGGCCTGCAGCACTGATGCTTGTTTAATTTGTATTTGTTTCATTATATTTAAATATGTATTTTATGTGAGAAGCTTAAGTTTCAGATACTTACATGAGCGCAAAGCAGCTCATAAGTGAATAAAATTACTCTAAGGCAGACGCTGCATAGAAATTCGAAGGCATCAAAATAGCTGCTCTGCCACAGGGACGAGCCGACATATTTATGTGTTAGTCCTTAGAAATATATTTACCAAATAATTAAATATATTTACATAGATAGATATAGATATTGAAAATACAAGTAAACTCAATATTTTAATAAACAAAAACCTTTGTGACTGAGTTTATTGAAGAGGATATGAAACTTTTCATAGAAGCTCTAAAATTATGTTTGAAATATGAATATATATGAAGTATAAATATGTTGCTGCCGATTATGATACCAATAGCAGGTCGTGAACATAATATGGAGAGTCAAGAATCTACAGCAAACGAAGCTAGTAATAAATATATAATAAAACTACAACTCTGAAAATGAAACTAATTACTAAGCATTCCAAATTGAACCTTGAAGACAAACTACTATTACGCCAAACTGATTCAAGCCTATATTTAGAAGTAGCTAAATCAAACCCTGACGCCTGCATAAGACGTCTGCTGCAGTGGCATGTTCGTAATCAAATAAGTTCACGCCCAGAAAGTCATCAAATTGAATTGGCTGTCAGCTCATCAGGCAGCGAATCCACCAGCCACGCCTGTCCTTCACACATATGAAATATGCTTATCATAATTAGCAAAGCTAATTCGCTGGAGACAGTTGCAAATGAAGCAGCCTTGGCTGCTTCTGCGATACTGATGAGAGCATAGTTGTAGGACATTCAGTGATTTATAGACTTAAGATCTAATAGATGTTTTATTCGGAGCCCAAGCTCGGCGCCAAGCGCAGGGCCACCTTTAAGTTGTGGTCGTCGTAGCCATCTTACGAGAATTTTTTGTTCTTACTTTCTTTTTTATTGTGGGCCTGAGTGAGAGTGTAAATTGTAAGCAGCTGTTCCACGCACGTTCGCGCACATAAATCAATTACAGAGCTCAGGGAAAAAGCTGGCGTCTTTGCAAGGCGTGGCAGTTGCCGATAGTCCCTAGATGCATGTGAGGCTGTGTGTGTGTGCCATTCGCTTCTGTTTTATTTTTACGAATCGTCGATAGACTTTTGTGAAAGCGAAAATTGTTAACGCAATAAAGAGCAACCTGCACTCTCTTGAGCTGCGAGAAATTTGAAAACTTTTTAATACTCTAAAACTAGACAGCGCCAGATAAAGAGAGAGACTGAGCAAAAAAGGGGAGATAAGCCAATGGATGGCGAGCTGTGGGAGCGTGGGGCCCATGGTGTGGAGCACTGAAATAACTTAACGATAGCAAGCCGCTGGATTTGTCATGATGCCTGTAAAGGATTGCGGAATTGGCTGGGCCTAACTATGTGTCGACAGCGATACTTAAAGTGCAACTTTAAATATGGATGCAACTGGCCATGCCACGGCCGCAGCTGCTGAAGTGGGGCACAGATTACAGTCGACTACACATCGGAAATGCAGCTACGGCCGGAGCCAAACCGTTATTGATTGTTGCACGATATTAGCCCAAAAGCCCGCACAACTAACATGGACCGCACACAGAGAGAGAGCGAGGGAGAGAGAGAGGGAGATAGAGAGGGAGAGAGCGAGGGACGGAGAGAGCTTCGTGACTGGTTGTGGTCATCCATTATTGATTGATTGACTGGCTAGTTGGTTGACTGCCCGCCTGACGAATTGGCGCATTGATTGATCGTCATTGTCGCACATTAGTCTAACGTCACAGAGCTGTTATTGTTGTTGCACGCTGTTGGTCGTTGGCACACGGCTTGTTGTTCGACCTGGACTTAAAGTTATCAGATATCTCAAGCAACAGTTTTAATACAATTCATAGCAGGCCACCGGCTTTGCCTGCTGCCCCTGTGTGCTCCTTAATTGCAAAGTGCAATATGTGCTTTGAGCCAATATCTTGCCAGATTGAGTTGCAGCCGAGGCAAGATGCTTCAACAGCTGCCGCCTGCTGTCATAGAGAGCTTGTCAACTGCAGCAGCCAGGAGCCATCGCTGGCGCTGACGCTGCTGGCCTTTGTTCACAGCGCCATCTCTAATGACCAGCTCCGAGTTGTAAGTGCAGGCAACGGGCTTGCTGAGTAGCTTTGAATAGATTATAGATTAAGTCCGCGCAGCAGCGCACAGCTGCCAATCAGATTAGTGAACGATGTGTTTTCATAAAAAAGCAAAGCAATTTCCAATTAATTACGTAAATCATTTCATTTCCATGTAGAACAGCACAAAACTTAAATAGCTGAACTGCTGAAGATTACATGGACTTTAACTTGTATTTTAGGGCAAAGCCAGAGTTGCTGTTGCTGCTGCCGTTGCCGTTGCCGTTGCCGTTGCCGTTGCCGTTGCTGTTATTTCTGTGCTCGAATGACAGACGATTCGAAAATTCTTTTTGCCTAACGTTTCGCGCTTGTTGGCGCTGGCGTTTGCCTTTGCCGTTGCCTTTGCCTTTGCTGCCTCCTGTGCGGCTTTATTATTGTGTTCGGTGCCAATTTCCGCTGGCGACAAATGCGTTTTGTAAATAAAATGTCAAAAGGATTTTCGTTTTGTGTCGCAAACGACCGAAATGTATCCCATCAGCGTGTCCTTGCCGCAGCCACAAACACGCCTGTGAAAGTCAGCGAGCTGTCATGTTCACATTCTGTCAATGCGCTGACGATACAGGGTGCTACTCACACCCACCCACACACCGACACGCACATTTGCATAAACGTGTGTGGGGCCACACCCTTTAGGCTCCATCAATAAAGAGAAAAGCCAGCTGTGACCACAGCCAACTTATTTTCAGCGTCGTCTTGAATTGCGCCACTCTTTCGCCACATCCATATAGCTGTATATGAGTATTTTAGTTCGATTTGGCCAAAACTGACGCCATTCCGCCAGCCACCGCCAGCCACCGCCAGCCACCGCCAGCCACCGCCCACGCAAGTGCCGTTGCCTTGCTGACGTTGGCGCTGCCTGTGGCACATTTATAGCCAAACGCATTTGCATGTAAATTATTGCAATTGGACGATCTGCCCAGCCCCTTGGCCACTTCCCAGCCACGCCCCGTGCTTTCCAGATACTTAAGCATCATCATGACGAAGGGCTGCGCTGCTGGCTAAAAGTCCCGATGATATATAGAAATGTCAAGATAATTGAATGAAAATGCTGCTATAGCTGCTAATCGATTAGCTAAGGGAAAACAGCGCGATCTCAGCCAGCTGCTCTGGATATAAACAAGCTCAGCTCACATATCTGTATCTATGTATTCATCTAGCATAAACTATTTCGCTCAGAGCTGTCTCCTTGATTTACCTTGAGATATTGAGCTGAT